CAATTTTTGACAACTTACCATGTGTGGATGTGCTCTAACTTGTAAGCTCGATTATAATAATTTACCCAATAACATACAAGATATATAAATTTTATTTATTTACAAAAGCTATCAAAATAATATCCTACACAAGTGATATAATTACAAATTATGATACAAAATGTGAGGTCTCAAACTTCGATGTTGGTAAAATATTTAAACTCTACAAATGTTTAGCATAATAATGATTTAAATCATTCACTTCTTAGAAATGTTACCACAAGTAGTTTAATAAATAATTAATATAAGAATCAAAATCTAAAATATGAAACTAATAAGACACTATGATAATAATAACGTGGTTCAACAAATCTTAAAGCCTACATCTTCATTTATGTATCCTTTGTTACACATCACCTTTATTTTTTAATCCTCTATTAACCTCATACAATTGACTCAATAACCATCAAATATATATTGTCATGAATATATAATACCATTCTAGCTCATAAAATCTCAATGTTTGCTTATAGAAAATTATAACTCAAGTGTGATATGGATATTGGAAATCAAAGATGTTAGATGTATAATCGATTATTGTTTGAATGCTAGACATTAACAGATGAATTCATCACCGGAGTGAATTTGTTTATCCAAGCCGCATGTCAACTACCTTCATTTATATCAGATGGGAGGTTTCATTGTCATTCCAAACACAAAAATCAATCCTACCTCACATCAGACGAGGTTATTATTAATCTATATCGTAGAAGATTCATGCCAGAATATTGGTATTGAACTTTACATGCTGACTGATAGACGCATTTCAACTCTTAATACGGCCCGTTTACAAGTTCCAACATAGTTGAGGAAGAAAATATTAGGGCGTTTGAGGACTTAGTTTATGATGCAACTATATCACAATTTGAATAATATACAAAATAGTCTCTGAATAGGGAGGCCCACAACTTTTATGATTTGTTGCATGTTACAATACAACCAATTTGAAATCGGTGTACTACTCACTCATATATCGGTCACTATGAAGATGTGGAGCATAATGTTATAATACACCATGAGAGTACTTTTGTTAATTCATTGGGAGCTTAAAGAAATCAACTTGATATATAATGGTGAAATAATGGCCCATTTTTGTTGTCAATGGTTACAAATTTCATACCAAAGCTTATTGTGAAGGTCAGAAGACATAAAACTTTTGTGTCATTGTTAGGGGGAACAACCATACAGGAGATGACTTCAAATACTATAAGGTCTTACATAAAGTCTTACAGTTTGAGTATTCGGGTGAAGGGAATAACCTATATCTCTTTAATTGTGATAGCACCATGTGCTAAATAGATGTATAAGAATACATCCACTATATTACATAAATAAAGTGAGGTTGAAGATATGCAAATGTATGCCCCATTAATTTGTCATAGTTAATTATATAAGTCAAGTCTACTTTATTAGCTATCCAGTAGAGTGTGGGGTAAATATGACTGTCTTGTAGTCATCAAGACAAAATCCCATAGGGGGGTGGGGGGTGTTGTTATTAAGAGTATCACATAAATACTAGCAACATATTAAGAAGGTTGTATGCTAGATTTTAAAGAGTCTGCTAATGATGTTGTTGATCAAATTGCATATATTGAGGGTGAGTTACAGTTAGAGGAGGACTTAGAGATTGAGGGAAATAATGATGAAGATGTTATTGGGGAGGATGCAGCCTCGTCGGATGAAACTAAATCAAGTAATTATTAATAATTAAAAGGTAAATATATACATATTTTTGTAGTTCTTGCACGTACATTTTGTTACATAATTTATTTAGTTTTTTTAAAATGCTAAGACACTAACATTTAAACTCAAATTAAAATTTCTTAACCTTAAGCAAATAAAAAATAAACTTATTGAAGGAGAAAAATAGACTTCAAAATTACACCTTAGTGCTATAACCCGTGTTGGATTTATGTATATCTTTGTACGCTTCCCTTTGATATACGTGAGGTATATATGCTGGACTACCAGCTTGAGTTGCGGGGCTAAGTGTCCTAAGAAAGTCTGTTTCCTCAAGCACACTGTGACAATATCACGTACCTCATAAGTTAAGAGGAAAGAATATGAAGATCTACATAAATTATCCCTCTTTAAAAATTTAAATCTACTCTTAGAAATCTAAGCCAATTTCCTTAACTACCCAGCTGTTAAACCCTAGGTCGGGTAGAACCTATACATATCTATAGGTAGGGAATATTTCTATTCTCATATCAGCCTTTAAAAATAAATTTACCTTAGACATATGAAACTTAGGATTTTATTTTTATGGTGGGCAATAGGCTCATCTTAGTGGTATCACCTATCAGTCTTACCTTGAGTCTTATATTACCAATGAGGGATTAACTGACCCTTGCCACCTTACAATCATTTCAGCCTTGATTAGGGGTAAGATTAAAGATGAGTCAATTAATAATTAAGTATAGGTTAGGGCCTAAGCCTTTAGGCTATTAATAATTTAATAATTAAGATTTTAATCCAAAAACTAAGTGTTAATTAATTAATTCACCCTAAATGACTATATAAACACTTAAAGAGAAATTTATGGGTTAATAATAAATTAAACAATAAGAACTTGATCTTGTAACTTAAACTTCCCACCTAATTTGGGGTAGTTAGGTACACTTTTCACACACATTTAGGTGCTCAATATAACACCTTTTTATAGGCATCCTAGGGTAGGGTGTAGCTAGGATAACCTTTTACATTTTTTTTTCTTTTTTGTTTTATATTTGTGATGATGTGGCGATGTGTTTTTTTTTTATTTGAATTACTTCATTGTTGCCTTTCTTTTTTTATTGATGGATGAGTGGACACTTGTCCTTAAATGATTAGATTTTATAGAAATATCTTCTGCATGTGGCCATGCTCTCAAAGGGCAATAAAAATGTTGTCATAATTATTATAAATGCACTATTTAACTGGTAGTGCGAGGAATGTTAAGTGATAATGTGGCCATAATGACTAGGTTCTGGAGGATGTGTGATTATTTATTATAAGTATACTGACATTATTTTTTATACGGTGATTATATAATTTTATACTTTTCAAATGTAATTTCAATTAGAAAAGCTTTGTAGGTGTGTGCGAATTTCAGAAGGCAAGAGGCCAAATATGTGGAGAGCGATCAAGAACCTACACATCAATTAATTTGTGTATAGATTTAGGCTGAGTTATATATATGGTAGAGCTCAGCTACATTTTTTTTACTTTTCTGGGGTGTATTGTAGAAGCCGGCTACATTAATGGACATAATTATTATTTGTTGTGTGATGATTTGTTTATATTGATTATGCAATAGAATTGCATGCTTTTTTCCCTAGGTTTCTTAAATTATTTTATTTGGGTGTTGCTCGGACAAAGTCATCCTTAGGCTTGGACGAAGTTGGCCTTAGGCTCTTAGGATGTTAAAATTTCTATAAAGTTAATTTTTTTTAAAACAAGATAAAATAAATATTGGATTTAAATTCAATCAACTTTTCAAAAATGAATGCATAACCCCTTTGTGGGTTACCTTTTAAATGATGATTATTGTTATAAAGCTTGTTCACTTTACAGTGATTATTGACCAGTTCTGATTAGCCATGCCTATACATGCATAATCTTGAGTCAATCATATAGATTTTCTTTTATAATATAAAGGTATAATTAATTTTGCATAAACATAGTACCATTCATGGTCGGGCTTAGTACCCATTTCCTTTTTCTATGCCTCCCACCACTCTTGCATTTACATTAGATTAGATATCATGGATTTAATACGTTATGTGGAATTTAGCTGGTACCTCTTTCCTAGCAGGGTAGTAAATCCAGGCTGGGGATACTTAGATCCCTAGTAATATTTATGTTATTAGTCCTATCATGATGTCTTGTGTTAGTTAGGTCGTTGATGTTAGTACCAAGTGTATGATATATACCTTATAGTTATATGATCAAAGGCAGACAATATTGGTGTACCGTTGCATGCCTTATTTGTGGGTGAGCTCTCCATTAATCTTTGAAGGCTATAAATCATACCCTTCCACATCAATTTAATGGCGTCACTTTCATCCTTCTCTCACGCATGTTTGGTATGAAAAGATTTCTTTTCTAGTCTCCATTATTTTTGACCAGTCGAGTGTTTGTGTGATACACGTATGTTGAAATAACTAATTGAGTCTATCTTCCTTTAGTTTAAAGAGCCTAAAAATTCCTACATGCACCAAATTTTGAAGAGAATAATGCAGCATTCTTAATTGAGAGTTTTCTTAGGTTGATGTCTAATATGTAATTCAAATAAACTCCATTCGAGCTGATATATCGAATGAGGAAAATCTCATGGTTTGTGGGACATATATATTATTATCCATCGAGGTGTGTAGGTGAAAATCACTATACTCTATGGTTAATCATATATATGACTCAACCTTCTCTTCAATTGCCCTGCTTACGTTGATTGTAAAGGTCTGCCACCATTTTGTCCTACGGAATAGTGCGGTCATACCCTTTTCATTCTGACCCTGCTCGCAGAATCCTTTTGAAGACCCACAATCTATGAATCCAAAAATTATACAAAAATGTTCATAAATTAATTAAGCATGTTCAAAATACTCTGGTAAAATCGGTTTGTAAAACAAATACCTTACGGTCCTATAATCTCCTCTTGTACCAACAAGTATCTGGAGGGGTTTCCTTTTTTTTTTTTTTAATAAATTTTTATGTAAAAAAATTATGATATCTTTTATAACTTTTATCTATGCGTACATGCTCTTTATGCAAATCCAACATATTAATCATACCACAACGCCATCAAATTTGTAGCACTTCGATGTTTAGTGTGAAAGTTTGCTTTAATCAAAATTTGAATGGTTCTAAATTAAATTGTTGAGGTTTATGATTTAAATGTGTATTGGAATTCGTGCTTGATAAATTCAATTTTTTGATGATACAAAAAATATTTTAAGAATTAAATTTGAGCCTTTATCTATTTATTTACTTAAATAATTAATAATTTTAATATTTTAAATTTAATTATTTTTATGATAATGCTATACAATTTTATCTGTTCCGATTCAAAAAATTTTCTCAATAAAATAAAAAATGGTTCGAAGCCTTCCCTTAACCCTCGGTGTTACCCACAATTCATATAAAAGTAAAATTACATTTTTTATTTGACTAAGTTTTACAGTTTACATACTTTCTTCTCCGCCGGTTCTTTCCTAGGCTCCCTTCCCCGAGCAGCCGCACTGGCTCAGGCCACTAACAGCGGCAGCCTTCGTAAATCCCCATTGTCTACTCTTGCTCATCGACTATCTTGCTCTGCCTCATCAATCGCAAGGGAGATGGCAATACCGAGGAACTTTAGGGCTTGGCGCCATTGTGCGCCGCCTGGCACTCTTTCGCGCAATTTCTCAAACACCTCGCGCAATTTCTCAAACACCATCCGGGCATTCGCTGCTGCTGCTTCCCCTCCTTCCAAGGCTGTAGTCTACGAGCAACATGGGTCGCCCGATCAGGTCGTGAGGTTTGAACTCGATCTCATATGCCATGTGTCTAGTAGTTTATTATCTGCCGGGGGAGAAATTGTATAAAGCTGTCTTGCCTGAAAAGGTCCAATTAAGTCGCTATAGGTTATTTTTCTTCGTAAAATTGCAGTCTTTGTGCAAGCGACGAGAAATGCCTCCGTGATGTCATAAAGATACTTGACGAGGTGGAGTTTAGGTTTTTACGTTCCTTCCCTTCCAGAAAAATGCGGAACTCGCTGTAGTCGAATCCTCTTTCTCAAGGGGAGGAAGTTACGAGCTTCACAAGCTTTACTTCCTAATAAGATGAGTTTCTTTTAAGGTTTACAGATAAGAGTTATCGTGTGTGCGGAATTTGTTTTAGTTCACGCGCACTTCGTGCACGCGAATCCTATCCTCCATCACCGTAGTTTTTCTTTTTCTTTTGTTCTGTTTTTATTTCGTTACCGCGGTACAATAGGTTAGTATACGTCCATGTTAATGAATATCTGTACTTGTAACAACAGGGTGGTTGATCTTCCACCAGTGGAAATAAAAGAAAATGATGTTTGTGTCAGAATGATGGCATCTCCAATCAATCCCTCAGACATAAATAGGATGGAAGGTCTGTTACTTCTATTCTTTTGTAAAAAGTAGTTTCCGTTTATGCATTATGCATATGTGTTGTATGTGAATGGAAAATGTTGGTCTATTTATCTTAATCTGTGGCATGATTTTTTCATCGTTAACCTTTGTTTGTTTCTTGTTTGGAGTTTCTTAGGCTTCAATTGAGATACATTGTTAACCCCTTTTATGGTAGAAAAAGCAGCCATAAAAAGTAATTTCCATTTGGTTTATATATTTGTCAAAATTTTACTTTGAAAATGTTGCTTTTGAGAAAATAAAAAGTTTTGGTCTAGAAAAATAGCTTTTAACAAGAAAAACTTAGAAGAATAAGTCGCTTCAAGTGCATGTGAATTTGGTTTAGCGCACAAGTAGAATGAATAATTTGTCATGGCTTGATATTAAGAGAAGCAAATGTCATTGTTTGCTGTAAAATATATTTGATACTGTTGCAATTTCTGCTGCTTTGTTTTGCTTAGGGAGAGATGCTTAAATATCTCATTGTAAGAATGATCAACTAGCATGTTATGTTGGTCTAATCAAGTAGTAAAGTCTTTGAATAACTTCTATTTAGTAAAATCTTATTAATCTTTTAAAAAATTTATTAAATCTATTTGAAAGTTTGTCCAAGCAAAGATTCTATAACAACTAGGCTCAATTGCAAAGCTAATTTTCCCTTTAAATTATAAAAGAGTATTCTTTATATTCCTAATTAAAGTATGACTAAACAAACTTGAAGATGTGTAGATATTTTTTGCTTGGAGATAAATAATGAAATATAAATTTATATTCAATATTAACATGAAATATTAAATTAAGGTTGAAATATTATTATTATTATTTAAAAAAAGAAGAAAGAAGAAATATTAAAAAAAAGAGCTTTAAAAAAGGAAGAGAGGAAAGGGATTTTTTTATACATTTTGTCGTCGTCGTTGTCCCGATATCACTGTCGTCGACTTCCTATCGCAAAGGTATAAATGTTCTCTAAAACTCAAAACCTCAAAATCCCATTATCGGCGCTCGTAGCGTGCTGGGGGACCACACTGTACGCTCTTTTAGCATGGTGGGAGAATTCCAGGTGCAACATTTGCGGTGAGGCAGGTAGGCCTCGAAGTGCTCTCGTAATATGACGAGAATAAAATTAAGTATCTGTGCGTGCTTCAGTTCTAGTTGGGAAAGAAAAATTGTGCCTTATTTCAAACAGGTACCTCACTAATTCCTTCGTGCTCTTGTTGGGTTGTAGGATTGAAGACTACAATCATGGGGTCACCCGACACCTATCCTACGTGCTCTCGTAGAATAGTAGGAAGGCCTAGCTCCTCGATTTATGCTAAACGGGGGAGACGTCAGGAGGCTATTGAAATTGGAACTGAACAAAGGACCTAACTTGAATCAAATGACAACGAACTGAACTTACAAATTGGATCACGGGGAACAAAACTCAATTCAAATAGTAGGGAGCCGGATTTTAATTTAACAAACACACAATCATCATAATGCAAATGTTAATTAAAAAACTAGATCATTCAAATGAACAAAAATGAACGAGTAATGACTCATGGTGGGTCAGGGAAAATTCCTACATCTTGTTTGCAAGTAATAATCAATATGAATATGCAATTTGATCGCAAATGATGTTGCAAAACCTTTAATTTACATATTGGCAACATGAAGCTTGCAATGCACACATTAGCCTGTATGTGAGCAACGACAACAAACAAGCTTGTAATGTAAATTAAAGTTCCCTTACGACCGATGTTAACTAACTTGCAAACACCTGCACTAGTTCCCACGAACACTAAAATACATGCAAGCAAATGAAACAGTTCTCTGATCCGCATGTATAAGTAAATTGATGAGGAATGTAGCAACTTGTCAATCAACAGGCAGGGAGGAATTGGCGATGAATGCGATTCACCCAATGATCAACATTAATTTGTAGATGAGTACACATCTACTTTCAAAAAATAACACCGACGACTACCCTACAAAGGCACTCAAAGAGACTGTTAGTGTAATGCCGATCGAAAAATCTGTTTTATACATTCATATTAGACCTTCAAGGTCCAAAATAAGAGAAATTCACTAATAAAAACAATGCCAACAACAAACCCGATCCTTGGTCGGCAAGTTGACAGAGTCGACAAGGTTCAACCAATAAAATAAATTTGCTTATAAGTACACTGATGATGACCGTGTTGATAGAAAATCTCAACTTTAGGGGACCACAAACATTTAAAATGTCTCCCAAATTTCAAAATTCAAGAATTACCAAAATTCGAAATATTTAAAATTGAAATAAAATTCCTAAATGCTTAAAGAAAAAATATCTATTTACCCTCCGCAGCAGTTTGTTGAGATGGACAAATTTGAAAATGCACTTCAGCTGATAAAGTTCTAATGTTTGATAAAAAATATCTCTAAGATTCATTCTCAATCCATCTCTTGCCAGTAAGGACGTGTCAGTTGTCATTTATTCGGTGATTTTGCCGCCAAATGGTACCACAGGTAAACAATTATGACTGGGACCCTTCAAACCAAGTGGGTTTCCCATAAAATAGCACAACTAAATTACGGTCATGGTCAGAGCCCGTATGTTTCCAACAACATCAAATCATTGAGTAATGAATCAATATGATATGACCGATAGGGCACAAAGCCTTTTGTTAGCTAAGGTGAATTCAAATTTGTCCCATTAGATAAATATTCACCCCAAATCTACTAGTTACCCTTGGAAGAAGCAACCCATGGTTGATGACAAGAATCCTTCAGTCAGGTTGGATCGACTACCTCTCTGACTAAGTAGACCAGGGACGACAGAATCATGGGATCTTGATCGGGTCCATCATCACACCCCCACCATCTACTTTAAGTGCAAGGTGGTGAATTTCTTATTTTAAATATCAAATTTTCAAATACCTAAACTTTGCTGCTACTACACGCCGGATACTACATATCTGTTCAACGATTAGTCTTAATCGAAAGTTCTCTCTCGCTATCAGGAGGGTAATTAACTATAGAGGCTTGCGCATATAGAAAACCTTAACTCATATTATAAAGTCCTCGAAAAATGAGGGCAAAATCTATGTGCAGTGCCTTATCTAAAAATCAAATATGACTTCTGAAAATTTGTGTTGGAACTTAAACTTTAAAACTCTCCTCGATGACCCGAAAAAAAAAGAAAGAAAATGGGTCCACAGAGAGGTCGGGGCGTGAATTTTTGAAGCCCGCAAAATAGAATAGAGATATTAAAAAGAAAAATAAATCAACCCTCATTCGACGTGTGTCTCGATTTACATGCCATCAGAGCCTTGCGCTTGGGCAAATTTTGCCTTCTCGCTTGTGCAATGTCCTAGGCAGTATTAGAATTGTTTTAAGGTATTCTTAACATTTATGATGCAACTACAAAGTCCGTTTCACGAACAAGCGGGATTTGGTCGACGTCATGCAACATTCCATCCATAGACCAGCAATTTGACCACATTTGCTTGATTCATTTACGAGTGGTCTCCCGTGATTTTAATTCAATATTCTAACACATTGGCACAATATGTTTGATGATCAACCATTATTTGGGTAGTTTTGTGCAACGTCGCGTTAACCAATCGTCGCTTTTATCATCATTTTTCGTTCAAATTGTGTGTGAACGATTCCTCTTTAGTAAATTAAACATTCTAAATGCTTATATGTGATCTGTTTTGCAATCAGATGAAGTTTTAGATGGTTTTATGCACGATTGAGGCGCGTTGATGTTTGTTCCCTACAACATGTTCGTTAGTCGTCTTCCTCGATGCATTTGATTGATCGTGATATACATGTGGAGGTAAAAAAAGGCGCACCTCTATGAAGGATATATTAGATGAATACGGAAGGATTATAATATAAAATATAATTAATAGTTTATACGATTAAAAATTGTGCAAGAAAACTTTTGCAAAAAAAGGTGTAGACTAGAGTTAATATTCATGTAGCACTTAACAGGGATGGATAGAAGTCCAAAATAATTCTTAAACACATCGTGTTTGCTAATTTAGTCTCAAAAGTATCACATTTCTTCAATTTATATTATTGATTATTCAAAATTGATCCATAATGATTGTTCAGGGCTAAATTGGGTCAATTTCATATAATTGAGGGACTAAATTAGGATCAATTTTGTATCTCAATTTCCATCAAGTTCTTTTGAGGGACCATTTTGGATTGATTTTCTGTAAACGATTGCATTGAATTTGATAAATGTGATGAGACTAATTTGGTCACATACAAATGATTGGTGGACTATTTTGACATCTTTCTCCAACAAAAATGATTTTGAATAGTATTCATCAAGCCAACATAAGATGATTTGGACAAGACTATTGATAAGGTTGAGAATGATATGATTTTTACTTGATATTTAGTCAAACAAAGATGCTAAAGAACTTGGTCATTCAAGTATTATATAGATAAACATATATAAAAAATGGCATTTGATATTGTGGGTTCCGAAAATTCACGCTCTTGCCTTGGGCGAGGAGAGTTTTAACAAGTTTAGGTTTTGAGGACAATTTTCAGAAGGCAGGTTGGGTTTTAAATATGATACTACCCAGAGATTTTGCCCTCATTTTGCGAGGACTTTATGATCTGAGTTCAAGTTTTTTATATGCGCAAGCAAGCCCTTATAGTTAATTACCCTTTCTAATAACAAAAAAACTTTTGATTAAGTTTTGTCATTTTAATAGATACATGATATCCAACATATAATAGCAGCAGAATCATATATTGAAAATTGAAATTTATCACTACACACTTAAAGCGGATGGTATGGATATGATGATGAGCCCGATCTATAATAACCCGTATGTTGACTCTGCAAATACTTTTTTTTTTCTGGAGTCAATATAAGTTCAAATCACAAACTGTCCTTACTATAATATTGATATTGTAGTAATTTAATTACATGAATTTTTTTCATAATTTTTGGCCACTATTAAAATCCTTAAGAAATTAACACTTATCGGT